TCACACAGAATGTACAAATACAGGTTGTGGACCAGATTTAGCCTGTAGGCAGCAGTTTACTGACCCCTGACCTAGGGGAGTATTTCTCAGATTACAACCACTAGAATCTCAGTACTTTAGCTTCTAAGAAGTACTTTATCAAATAAAACATAAGGTATAAATTCATGGAAAAGAGTAAAGAAGTGGTTATGGGTCTTTGGGAGAAAACCTTACCACTTCTTTTGGCACATAAGCGTAACCTTATCCTCCTTTTTCTAATGTTTAAATTTAGGTATGAAGCCTATTCATGCTGCAGACAAACAGCTGCTTATAGTGGCAAATGCCCACATGCATTGGGACCCAGAGTATTCCGATGTGAAACTCATCCAGACCATGATGTTTGTCTCAGAGGTTAAAAACATTCTGGAGAAAGCCTCTAGTAGGCCTGGCAGTCCAACTGCAGATCCCAATTCCATCCCGCTGGTGCTATGTGCAGATCTTAACTCATTGCCAGATTCAGGTATTTATACTACCATTTCCTCTTTGCTTTCAGTTTTGCTTTTAGTTGAAAGACCAACTAGCTCCTAACTTTTGAGTAGAGAATTTCTTTTCTAAATTAGGGAGCATATCAGTCGGAATCCACGGGATAGGACATGGGATAATTGAGATTTCCCAAGGTGTGGGCAGGGTTAAGGGAGACCAAAAATGAATGATGGAATATTCTGGCCACTAACTGAGCTGGGAACTCTTATTACCCCTATGCCTAAAGGGGAAAGTAGTGGGAGCTATTAGCAGGATTTAGAAAAATAGTTAGAGCTGTACGAGAGGGCCATGTAATGGGAGCTGTGGCTCTAAATTGAGGGATGTAGATAATTTGTGGCAAGATCTCCTGCCACAGGTGCCAGTGCCACCCATTGACCAAACCCAACTAGAAGCCAGAAAACAGGGATTTATAGTTGATGCAGTAATGGTTGGTCTGCTGAGGCACAGAGTGCAGTGGAGAAGGGTGATTTTGAGGGGCAACCAGAAAATAGTCCACATAGGTAGTTATTTAGTTTAATAACTTTAGCAATTTTTAAGTGAATTTATTAAAAGGTAATTGAATATTGATATTAGGCACAAAGAGTGATTAGAATTCTTCTAGGATTTCACGTTTATCCTTTAGCTCCATTAAACTGCTTTTGTCCTAATTTATGTCACTTCGGAACGCACTACCATCAAGTCAGTTCAACTCATAGCAACCCTGTAAGAAAGACTAGAACTGTTCCATAGGGTTTCAAAGGCTATAAATCTTTTATGGAAACAGACTGTCACATTTTTTTCCCGTGGAGTGGCTGGTGGCTTCTAACCACTGACCTTTTGGTTCACAGCCGAGTGCTTTAACCGCTGCAGAACCAGAGCTCCTCTTCCATCATTTAAGACCCACTGCCATTGAGTCAGTTCTGACTTACAGCAACCTCCATTGGGTTTCGAAGGTTGTAAATCTTTACGGAAGTAGACTGCCTCATCTTCTTCCCGCAGAACAGCTGATGGGTTTGAGGCACTGATTAGAACTTTGCAAAACATCACTTTTGTATTTTAGACAGTAAATTTCAAATGTAAAGCATTAAAGTGTATACTTTTGCTATTAGCAAAAGGTAGGAGCTCTGGTAGCGTAGTGCCTAAGGCACTTGACTGCTAACCAGAAGGCTGGCAGTTCAAACCCACCAGCCACTCCCCAGAAGGAAGGTTGGGCAATCCTACTTCAGTAGTGATACTGCCTCGGAAACCCAAGGAAGGGCCCCTATGAGTTGGGGCCGACTTGATGGCAAATAACAATAACAACAACAAATTAGCAAAAGGTATTCTAAATTTTGTTTATTACTAAGTTTTTTAAAGTGTTTAAAATAGTAACAGTAAGTACATAGGAATATTCATAAAAGCTACAAATATCTTTGCTTTTTCTTCTTAGCAAGTAAGTACTGAAATTATTCTTTACAAATGTTTGTCTTCAGTTCCTAACCCAGTAGGCACCTTAACCACATCTCTTTTCTGAATCTTTTTTTAGTTTAATTATCCTCAAGGATCAGAAGTTTTCTTCCCATCTCATTTTATTTGTTTAAGCCAGTTACCTGTGATTTGGCAGCACAGCATAAAGAGTTGACTCTGGAGCTAGATTGTCAGGATTGGATCCTAATTCTGCTGTTAATTAGCTTGCAGTCTGTGATGAAATTCCTTATTTGGAATAAGGGAACAATAATTGTATTCACCTTACAGGGTTGTTTGTGAAGTTTGTGTGTAAAGCATTTTAGAACTGTGCCAATCATAGAATAAATGCTAGATAAATGATAGCTCCTTTTCACTTGTTCACAATACTGGCAGTGACTCATCTTTTAGATGACTAATGATGATAATAATGAAAAACAAAACAAAACAAACTTACTGCTGTTGAGTCGATTTTGACTCATAGCGACCCCTTCTTTGATTTCTGAGATAGTATCTCTACGGAAGTAGATTGATTGCCCAGTCTTCCTTCTGGGGAGTGACTGGTGGCTTTGAATTGCCAGCCTTCTGATTAGCAGTCAAATGCCTTAGGCACTGACACTTTTTTCCCATTTATTTACTCAGTGAAAGCAGTGTACTTTTTTTTAAAATGCTTCTACTCTCTTCTGGTTTTTAGACACATCTGATATTTTTGGCCAAGTAGAATATCTCTATCATAAAATGTTCTTTGTAGTGTCAGACTGAGAAATCTTATTCTAACTCAAAATAATGATGTTATGTGCTTAGCTGACAAGAAAAGTTGAAATGTTGAAGACACAAAATCTATTTTATAAATGATTTTTTATTATGTATGCTGTATTTCACGTATTTCCCAAGTTGATTGACTGCATAGAATAGGAAAATAATAAAGAGATAATGATTTGGAATAATGTTCTACAAACATTTAACAGTAAAGACCTACCTGGTGAATTCCACCCTATCCCCTGGAAACTATCATTAGCATGAAGAACCATTAAGAAAATGAAGGAAACTCATGCCTCACCTTGATAGTTTGTTCTGAAGTAGGCAAATACCCTACATTCTGTTATCTTGAACCATGTAAGTTACTAATTTATGGTTTTCAACAAACAAAAAAAGTAGTTTCATATAGTTCAACCTAGTGAAACCATTCTGAACCTGGTCTGACTCCTAGAGATGGTTCTTGGATATAAAGCCTTGTGGACTCAATGCTAAATGGTAGTATTCTTTCTTCTTCACTCCACTAGGTGTTGTAGAATATCTAAGCAATGGAGGAGTAGCTGATAACCATAAAGACTTCAAGGAACTAAGGTACAATGAATGTCTTATGAACTTCAGCTGCAATGGAAAGAATGGAAGCTCAGAAGGGAGAATCACACATGGCTTCCAACTGAAGAGCGCCTATGAAAATAACTTGATGCCTTACACCAATTACACCTTTGATTTCAAAGTAAGTGGCAGTCTCTGGGCTGATGTAGAAATTATTTCAAATATAAGCATGTGATAAGTGTAAATTTTTCATTTATGCTTGATTGTATAATACCCAGAAATTTTTGAATTCTCAAGATACTGAGTTTAAGTATGTACCTAAATGTAATGAAGTTTGTTAGGTTTGCGGTTATTGTGGTGTTGAGAATTCTTGTTGAATCCTTGTTTGCTAAATTTCAGATAATAGTGATAATAGCAGAAACTTTAAAAATGTTTATTATGTGCCAGGCACTATTCAAAGCACTCTATGTAAATTAATATAGTTAATCCTCACCTGTCTGTACCACTTAGAACTTTCAGCAAGAATCGAATTAATAAGTACCCAATGTAAGAAAGCTCACCTTGGATGAATTTTTGTAGTATTCCCTCAAAAATTTCTTAGTGCTTTCCACTGATACCTCATTTATCTTTAATACTTTCTAGATTGCTTTTGGGGGTGGGGTAGAGAGGGTTGTATTGAGGGTCTATTTTACATCCATTTATTTATACTAAAACATTCCCAGACAGTGGATGATGATGTTGTTGTTGTGTGCCATCAAGTCAGACCCAATTCATAGCAACCCCTCCTTGGGTTTCTGAGGCAGTTATCACTACGGAAGTAAATTGCCCAACATTCCTTCTGAGGAGTGGCTGGTGGGTTTGAACCGCCAGCCTTCTGGTTAGCAGTCAAGTGCCTTAGGCACTGCGCTACCAGGGCTCCTAGACAGTGGATAGCTCCATCTTAAAAAGGGAAAAGAAATAAATTTTAGCAAAATCAGGAAAAAAAAAAAAAAAAAGGGAGGGCCAGAAGACCTATTATTCAGAGCCAGCTATACTTGAGGAAGATTGATTATGGTGGTTTTTCTTATTCCCCTCACAAATTTTCTAATCACTTTATCTATCTGTAGCTTTTCTTTCATTTCTCTATATAAGTTTCTTGCCTTCAGACACTTACACTAAAATCTTACACTATTCTGTAAAAAATTGTAGATGTTAGAAAGTGGTTTTGTATAAAAAGAAGCCTAGAGGAAATTTAATAAAATAACAAAGGAAATTTATGAAATGGGCTTTTTCTTTTCTCTCTCTCTTGTTTTTTAAATTGTGATTTGGGTGAAAATTTACAGAGCAAATTCACTTTCCATACAGCAATTCACATATACTTTGTCTCATGACATTGACCACAATTTACCACAATGCAACATCTCACCTCATACTTCCTCCTGATAGTTACCTCTTCCCTATCTCCATACCTCCATGCACTTCTGCCCCCTGAGCTGTCTCCTTGTGCATAAGCAGCCCTTCTTTCTGCCATGATTGTTCTCTCCAAGGAGTGTATCTACCTCAGGTAAATGTTCAACTCATATGCCTGTTTATTGTTTGGCTGGAAACCATAGGCATGGGTTCAATTCCAGACCTGAAGGAAAGCTAGGGGCCATAGTCTCAGTCTCAGTGGTTCCACCAGGCTCTATTGGACTAGCAAACCTGGTCCCCCCTTTTTATTTTTCTCCAAATGATTTTGAGTTTAGTTCCACATTGTTCTCCCTCTCTATCAAGGATCTCCTACATAGATCCCCTACCAAGTGGTTGACAGTAGTAGCTGGGCACCATCTAGTTCTTCTGGTATCATAGTTGTATAGGCTGCAGATGGAATGGTGTACCAGTCACTAGGACTGTTCCCATGAAGTTTTGGTTTTCTTCATTCTTCTTTGCTCTGGATGAGGAGAGACCCATCATTGCATCTAGATGGCAGCTTGCAAGCTTTTAAGATCCCAGTGACTACTCACCAAAGTAGGAGGTGGAACAATGTTTTTGTAGTATGTTATGCCAATTGAGCTTGATGTCCTCTGCGACTCTGGTCCCGAGCCCACAGGTTCAACTGCTCAGTCCCTCTGGGTAGCTGGCTGTGACCAGTCAGTGACTACAACCTTACCCCTTGTTACCTCTACTATACACCTGGGAATTCAGATCATGAGCATAGACTTATAGGACCATTGTCTACCAACCCTAAACATGTTCTTGGGTACACTCCCCGCTTCATAGACATACCTAATAGTTCAGCCTGTCTACCCATCTATCCACCTATATACCCATGTTTGCCTTCACTGACAATGCCATACTATATAAGCAAAAGGGTTCATTTTTGTTGTCTGTACTTCCCACGTACCTCTCTATGACTTTCTCTTCCTCAGTGCTACTATATTGAATACTCACATTTGGTACGTTGCCCTTCTCTTCACCCAAATCAATACCAAAATGTATCTAACAGTGTTCCCTCCCCTCTCCTCCTACCCCTGGTAACCAACAAAGAAAATGTCCTTCTATAGATAAACCTTTCCTTGACTTTTACAATCGCAGACTAATACAATATTTGTCCTTTTGTGATTGACTTATTTCACTCAGCATAATGTCCTCCAAGTTTATCCACGTTATGCAGTGTTTTGCAGATTCTACATTATTCTTTAGGGTTGCATAGTATTCCATTGTGTGTATGTACCATAGTTGGGTTATCCATTCCTCAGTTGATGGACACCTAGGTTGTTTCCATCTTTTGGCTGTTGTAAATAGTGCTACAATGAACAATGGGTGTGCATATGTCTGTTCTTGTCATGGCTCTCACTTCTTTAGGATATATACCTAGTAATGGAATAGCTAGGTCAAGTGGTATTTCTAGTTCCAACTTTTGAAGGAATCACCATACTGTTTTCCACAATGGTTGTACCATTTTACAGTCCTACCAGCAGTGTATGAGAGTCCCAATCTCTCCACATCCTCGCCAGCATTTTTTATTTTCTGTCTCGTTGAACTTTGCTGCTAGTGCTGAAGCAAGATGGTATCTCGTTGTTTTGATTTACATCTCTCTAATAGCTAATGATCGTGAGCATTCTTTCATGTTTGTTGCCTGCTTGAATATCCTCCTTGGTGAAGTGTCTATTTATGTCTTCTGCCCATTTTTTAATTAGATTGTTTGTCTTTTTTGTTATTGAGGTGTTGGAGTTTTCTATAAATTCTAGAGCTAAGTCCCTTGTCAGATATGTCATAGCCAAATATTTTTTCCCAATCTGTAGGTTCTCTTTTGACTCTTTCGGAGAAGTCTTTGGAAGCACATAAAAATTTAATTTTTAGAAGGTCCCAATCATCTGATTTCTCTTCTGCTGTTTGTGCATTTTGAGTTATGCTTGATAGTCTATTTATGCCATATATTAGGGCCCTTAAATTTGCCCCTAGTTTTTCCTTGAGGAATTCTATAGTTTTAGGTTTCACATGTAAGTCTTTGATTCATCTGGAGTTAGTTTTTGTGTATGGTGTGAGGTGTACAAATCTTGTTTCATTTTTCTACAAATAGATCTCCAGTTTTGCCAGCACCATTTATCAAACAAACATTCTCTTCTGAAATGGGCTTTTTCACATCTCCAATAAGCTTTTTCCATTTTTAGTACTTGTGAGCCCCTTTTCTGAGAAACAAGTAGCAAAAAAGAGAAGAAAAATTCATGTGTTAATATTATTAATCAGCTTTTGTCATCATCAAATGAAAGAAAAAATTACTTAGAAGAAGTTGAATCTCATTTAATAGTCTTGCTATTAGGGTGTATAATTCTATCCAGTCATAGTTCATTTTGTTGAAATCACTTATATGTATTAATGTGCCAATAAATATTTAATAATCAGCTTTCTGGGAAAAATGAGCCCTGATTTGTAGTGTTTGCTGATTTCTATGGTATACATACTCCCAATGTACCAGATTTCAAGCTACCAATATAATGTCACTGGATACAGAGTTGGGAAGAGGTGCTAAGAAGGCTGATACAAGCTGGCTCCAGCACACCACTGCTGTTATGCAATGTACGCTTAAAGGAAAAACTCTAGATTCAATGATGCATAGTTTACTGTGGGTTAAATCCTATTCTTGTGACTATAGTGATAAATAATACATCTCTGCAATTATAACCTAGAAAACCTATAATAAAATTTCCTAAAGTAAGTGCTCAATAATTCTGTAATTATTATTGCTGTTTGATATGTGAGTAGGTGAAAAGACCAAATCATTTTGAGGTCCCTTGAATTTTTCAAAAGGTTACTTTTTCCTTTCTTAAAGCAGAAATTAGAGATACAAAATTTGGAATATTAATGTAAGCCATTTCCTCCGTCATTTGTTGATGGCAGAAATCTCACATATGTTAATAATTGAGTGAAAAATCTTACTGAACCATTTACATCACGTAAAGAGGTACAGTTAAAGAATCAGAAATGCCTAGCTCAGAGATTTTTTAATATCTGGATGTATGACATGGATTGATGGAGAGAGCAATAAATCGGTGTGAGAAAGGCATGTAGGAGAAGATAAATGTGTGGGCTGGAAGGGAGTGGGAAGGGAAAATGGCTAGACAATGAACTAAGGGGCACAAATCACCAGAGAGAATTGAGCCTTTAGTATAAGTAACAGATTGAACTTTTTTCAATTTTATATGAAGAATTTTGTGTAATTAGTGCTATATTAATATTGAAAGCAATATTGAAGTAAAAAGGAATTGCTGTTGTTAGGTGCTGTTCAATCAATTCTGACTCATATTTACCCCATGCACAACAGAACAAAAACCTAGTCCTGCTCCATCTTCATAATCATTGTCATGTTTGAGCCCATTGTTGCAGCCCCTGTGTCAATCCATTTGTTGAGGATCTTCCTCTTTTTGCTCACCCTCTGCATTACCAAGGATAACGGCCTTCTCTAGGGACCAGTCCATATTGATAACATTTCCAAAGTATGTGAGATGAAGTCTTAGCATCCACACTTTTAAGGAGCATTCTTCTTTTTTTTTTTTTTTTTCTTAATTGTGATTTGGGTGAAGATTTTACAGAGCAAATTCACCTTCCGTACAGTAGTTCACATAAACTTTGTCTCATGTCATTGACCACAG